ATGTTGCCCAAGCTGGTCTCCAACTCCTGGCCTCAAGCAGTCCTCCCGCGCTGGCCTCCTACAGTGCTGGGAGTATACACATGAGCCACTGTGCCTGGTTTCACTGCTTCTTATATCTTCAATGTGACCACACTAGTTCAAGGCACTGTCACCCCCTCCTGGACTGCCGCAAGAGCCTCCTCATTGCTTCTGTCCTGTCCTGCAGTCTTTTCCACATACTAGACAAATGATTTTTTGTAAAACTTACCATTCCATGTAACTGCTTTACTTAAAATGCTCCAATAGGCTGGGTGTGGTGGCTCAGCCTATAATCCCAGCACTTTGGGAGGCCAAGGAGAGAGGACTCCCTGAGTCCGGGCATTTGAGACCAGCCTGAGCAAGTTGGTGAGACCTTGTCTCTACAATAAATCACAAAAAATTAGCCGGGCGTGGTGGCGTGCATCTGTAGTTCCAGGTACGCGGAAGGCTGAGGTGGAAGGATCGCCTAACCCAAACAGGTCGAGGCTTTGGTGGCTGTGAGCGTGCCACTGTACTCCAGCCTGGGCAACAGAATGAGACTCCAACTCAGAAAAAAAAAAAGCTCCAATAGTATCCCACCATTTTCAGAATAAAAGCCAAAGGTTCTACCATGGCCCACAAGAACCTATATATTTTTTTCAGACCTCATCTTCTGTTACTCTTCCTTTCTTACCCTCTAGACACACTGGCCTCCTTGCTGGTCCTTAAACAAGTCAGACATGCTTCCTTTTCATGGTCTTCACATAAATTTTTATGAGTCCAGAACACTCATCCCTTAAATAGCCTCATCACTAGCTTTTTGATCTCCATCAGGTCTCTCCTCAAATATGACATCAACACTGAAGCCTTCTTAAACCATTCAGTTTGAATTGTGTCGCTCTTCACTGCCCCGTGCCTATCCTCCTCCATGCTTTAGTTTTCTCCATAGTACTTAATGTCATCTGACATACTACTTATTGTACCTGTTTACTGTTTTCTCCCATCATTATAATGTAAGCACCATAAGAGAAAGGATTTCTGTGTATTGTATTCACTGCCATATTGCAGCAAAGAATAGAAATACAATGAATATAAATACTCAATAAATATATATTGCTGGTGTTAAATTTTTCAGTCAAAAATTCCCATCTGCGAAGTTTAGAGTTTCCAGAAGAGGAAAAGGTCCTGCCTCTTCCTGCAGAGGTTTCACACAAAGTACACAAAAATCCTGCTCCTCTGAGATTCTACTTACCCTGATCCCAGTGCCATTGTCTTGGATCTGAATCAACTTCAGGCCTCCCTCTTTAACAACCACTTGAATACTTGTGGATTTTGCATCTAAACTGGCAAATCAAACAGAGAGAATAATTTATCAGTCTGCAATTACTCTAATGCATATAATTTAATATGAGCCAAGCAATAATAATGAACTCAGTAAATATAAGAGTGCCTATGAATGTGTTTTTCCCTTGCCTTACAGGCTCAGTGACTATATTGCATGAGTTTACATACTGTGTGAGACACAGGGAGGAGGAGCAGAGCAACCATCATTTCCAATACGATAGCGGTATTTCTGTTTCTCTAACAAAGACAGAAGTTAAAAGTAGGATTTTGTTAGCACATGCCTCTTATCCTCTTCTCAATTAATTTTACTATCCGCTACTTCATTTTATTCACTCTCAGACTCCTTGGTGATTCTAATAAAATGTCATTAAAAGGGCCAGGTGCAGTGGCTCACGCCTATAATCCCCAGCACTTTGGGAGGCTGAGGTGAGAGGATTGCCTGAGCCCATGGGTTCGAGACTAGCCTGGGCAACTTGGTGAGACCTCATCTCTACAATAAATTTTAAAAATTAGCCATATGTGGTGGTGCATGCCTGTAGTTCCAGTTACTTGGTTGGCTGAGGCAGAAGTGACAGTGAGACTCCAACTCAAAAAACAAAAAAGTCATTAAAAAATTCTAAATGTTAACCGGGCTCGGTGGCTCAGCCTGTAATCCCGCGCTTTGGGAGGCTGAGGTGAGTGGATTGCCTGAGCCCGCGGGTTCGAGACCCACCTGGGCAACTGCAATAAATCAAAAAATCAGCCAGGCGTGGTAGTGCATGCCTGCAATTCCGGCTACTCGCAAGGCTGAGGCAGAAGGATCGCCAGAGCCCAGCAGGTCAAGGCTGCAGTGGCCAGCTGCAGTCTGGGCAACAGAGTGAGACTCCAACTCAAAAAAAAAAAAAAAAAAAATCTAAATGTTTTTCTCTACTTTTCCCTTTTCTTTAAGAAGATATATTTATAATAAAGGAAAGGGGGAAAATGGCAATGCAGAATCTCTAAAAAATCAGTAAATCTCTTGTGCTTTCAGAGCAGCCTACAAGCACAGAGTACCTGCTAGAGAAAACAAGTTCCATAGCAGCAGTTGCACAAGAAGAAACTGCTCCCCACGTAGAAAACTCTTTATTCAGAAATAAGACAATAAGCTACCTAAATATTGAAGACCTTTCTCAGGAACCCCTGTATTAGTCATCTTGACTTCTATATTAAAAAGGGCATAGCTGGACTCCATATAAAATCTCTGCTTATCAATTAATTATAAGTCATTGAGCTAGTGTATTTAGTTTTGTTTTACAGTATATTCTGGCACAGCACAATAATAGGCTCTAGTTGTTCTGTCAGTTCATTCTAACATAACGGAAACAAAAGCCAGCCTACGACTTCCGCTACTCCTCCTCCAAGTCAAAAGGAGAAAACATCCCCAGGTTTCCTGCTCTTTTTTTCCTCTACCTCCTAATTCTCTTCCTTTTCCTCGGTGGTCCTTTCTGCCCCACTGTTCTTTCAGTCTCACGGCCTGGAACAACTAATGTCTTTGCAGTAAATTTCTCTACAAACCTGCCATTTTTCAGTCATGTATGTTTCCCCTATGAATGTAGGGACTTCAGTAACATCTATTAATTTTGACACAAAGGATCTGACACAAGGTTTAGGTACATTATAGGATTAAGGCCTTTTTTTGACGTTTACAGTCCACACCCACTTTTCCTCCCACAGGTTTTTAACCTCTTCCCTCTACAGTGTCTGAATCCACGAATGGCCTGTAAAACCAGGGAACCTCGAAGTGCACCCCAAAAGAACAGGACAGGAAAACACCAAGCGGGGGACACTAAATTAACAACAGAAGAGTCAAAAGTTAAGCCCAAAGCCCATCAGCCTGTCCTAAAACACCGACGACTTATTCTGAATAAAACAAAATGAAGTGTGCCCTTGAATGCGTATGGATGATTGCTGGAACGGTGGTAGGAAAATGATAACAAGATAATCCCTAAAGGAAGATATTTTTTCCCCATCGTAACCCTTCGTGCATCTTTAATGCTGCATCTTCTGCACAGATAATTTTAAATCAAGTAGATTGCTTCGTTAACGGTACCTTTATGAAAACAATACAAAGCGTATCCCCCTACTTGCACCCCAAACAACTCTACAAAGGTCTCGCGAGAGCTCTCAAGAATCACGCAGAACACTGGCAGGGAGAAGGGCTAACCAGCGCGCGCCCAGAGACCCTGCGGCCGCCGCTGTTGGGGACATGCGCTGGACACGCCCCTGCCCGGGGCAAGGAGGCGTGTCTGCGCCATTCTGAGGAGCGACCGGTAAAGTCTTTAAGGCAGCCCGGGTCGACTCCCTCCGTACCAGTTCTCAATCATCTCTTTGATGGCATTAGCTGGCCGCTGGATAACTTCCCCCGCCGCGATGCGGTTCACCACTGTCTCGTCCAGCCGCCGGATAACCCCCGTCACCAGCGACATTTTGGCGCCAGAGAGGCCCAGGTCACGTCTAGAGCTCACCGGAAGTGCCGTCAGCCTTGTGCTCACGTTCTTCCTGCAACTGGGGCTTACGCCATCTATTGATTGGACAACTTGAATGTCAGTCAAGCTACGTGGGGGGGTGGGTAAAGCGGCTGCTGCCCAGTCGCTCAAAGGATATGCGCTTGCGCGTTAAAGATCACTGTCCGCTCTCCTCATTGGTTCGTTCGTTGGAGCTCCGGGGAATATGAAATATCCAGCCAATAGGAGCAGAGGTGTCGGAGCCCGACGCTTGTGTCCCTCGGCTGAGGTGATCTGGCGCAGAGCGGAGGAGGTGCTTGGCGCTGCTCTGGCTCCTCCTCTCTTCTTGCGGCCGCGCTGAGGTTGGCCCTGCTCTTGCGGCCTCCCGCAGAATGTGGATGACGCCCAAAAGGAGCAAGATGGAAGTCGACGAGGCTCTCGTGTTCCGGCCCGAGTGGACTCAGCGTTACTTGGTGGTGGAGCCCCCGGAGGGCTCCGGGGCCCTGTGCTTGGTCTGTCGCCGCCTAGTCGCAGCCACTCGCGAACGCGACGTCAGGCGCCACTACGAGGCTGAGCATGAACACTACGAGCGGTATGTGTCGGAGGGCGAGCGCGCGGCCCTGGTGGAGCGCCTGCGCCGGGGCGACTTGCCCGCGGCCGCCGCGCTCACTCCCGAGGAGAGAGCTGCTCGCGCAGGCCTCGGGCTCTGCCGCCTCTTGGCCTTGAAGGGTCGCGGCTGGAGTGAGGGGGACTTTGTACACCAGTGCCTGGAGGTCTTGCTGAGAGAGGTTCTGCCCGAGCACGTAGACGTCCTGCAAGGCATCGACTTATCTCCGGAGATCACAAGGCAGAGGATCCTGAGCATCGACAGGAATCTACGCAGTCAGCTTTTTAACCGAGCCAGGGACTTCAAAGCCTATTCCCTTGCCTTGGACGACCAGGCTTTTGTGGCCTACGAGAACTACCTCCTGGTCTATATCCGCGGTGTGGGCCCTGAGTTGGAGGTGCAAGAGGATCTCCTGACCATCATCAACCTGACTCATCACTTCAGTGTTGGTGCGCTCATGTCGGCCATCCTAGAGGCCCTGCAGACCGCAGGCCTTAGCTTGCAGCGAATGGTGGGACTGACCACGACCCACACTTTGAGGATGATTGGTGAGAACTCAGGACTGGTCTCCTACATGAGGGAAAAGGCTGTCAGCCCCAACTGTTGGAATGTGATCCATTATTCAGGCTTCCTTCACTTGGAACTGTTGAGCTCCTATGATGTGGATGTCAATCAGATCATAAATACCATATCCGAATGGATAGTTTTGATTAAGACCAGAGGCGTTAGGCGACCCGAATTTCAGGCTTTGCTAACTGAATCTGAGTCAGAACATGGTGAAAGAGTTAATGGTCGATGTCTGAACAATTGGCTTAGGAGAGGGAAAACTTTGAAGCTAATATTTTCTCTGAGAAAAGAAATGGAGACATTCTTGGTTTCAGTAGGGGCAACGACAATCCATTTCTCAGACAAGCAATGGCTTTGTGACTTTGGTTTCTTGGTGGATATTATGGAACACCTTCGAGGACTCAGTGAAGAATTACGAGTTAGTAAAGTCTTTGCTGCTGCTGCTTTTGACCATATTTGTACTTTTGAAGTTAAGCTGAATTTATTTCAAAGGCAGATTGAGGAAAAAAGTCTAACAGACTTTCCTGCCCTCAGAGAAGTTGTTGATGAGCTTAAACAGCAAAATAAGGACGATCAAAAAATATTTGATCCTGATAGGTATCAAATGGTGATCTGTCGTCTGCAAAAAGACTTTGAGAGACATTTTAAGGACCTCAGGTTCATTAAAAAGGACTTAGAACTTTTTTCAAATCCATTTAACTTTAAACCTGAATATGCACCTATTTCAGTAAGAGTGGAACTAACAAAACTTCAGGCAAATACTAATCTTTGGAATGAGTACAGAGTCAAAGACTTGGGGAAGTTCTATGCTGGATTGTCTGCTGAATCTTACCCAATTATCAAAGGGGTTGCCTGTAAGGTGGCATCCTTGTTTGATAGTAACCAAATCTGTGAAAAGGCTTTTTCATATTTGACTCGAAATCAACACACTTTGAGCCAGCCATTGACAGATGAGCATCTCCAAGCCCTGTTTCGGGTTGCCACAACTGAAATGGAGCCCTGTTGGGATGATCTTGTGAGAGAAAGAAATGAATCAAATCCATAAGCCTTTGTAGTACAAGAGAAAAACTCAACAAGAGTTTAATTCTAAAAGCAAAAATTGGTCTGATTTTTCAAGTTTACTTATTTGGATTGTGAGAGAGCACCAAGTTATTACCAGCCGTCCAAATTGATCACAAGTCACATTCTAAGAGTTGCCTTGTTAAAATCTCAAATGGCAGCATGGGACTGAAACATGAGAATGCCCCCCTTTTTCAAAATTCAGTTTAATGACAAAGTGCTTGTCTTTTATGATATAATTGATTCTAAAGAGGTTTAGTATTGATAATGTGAGTTAAACTTGCAGTTTGTTTTTAAGGTGTTAGGATATATGCCAAAAATTTTAGCTTTTATTTTAATTGTTAAAATTCTGATACATATGTCTTAAATTATCAACTCCTTAAATGTGTGTTTGGACCAATTTGCAGAAACTCACATAGCTAGTTCATAAGTTTCTGAAAAGGAAGAACATACATACAGTGGAGGTATTTTGTCTAACTACCAAAATGTTTGAGACTCTTTTTTTAAGTGTATTTCTGAGTCTGAAGTAAATATTGAAATTTCCTCCCTCTCACCACTCCCTCATCCACCCCGGTGATACTGATATTACTAATAGAGGAAGTAATTGAATGAAGTTTTAGTCACAGGAGCAAGAATCATTTTTAAGTTGCTGATATAGGAGACTTCCTGCAATTTGGAGATAAAACTAACCAGTTATTGGGGGTTTCCCCTTAATTTTTGCAACTGGGGGCTGTTTTATCACCTTGCCTATTAAAGAACTACGTACGGTAAGTATAGAAACATAATGGTTGCCAGTTAGTAATTCTTTTTTTCTACTCTTAGACAGAAGTTTGGCCCTGTCAAAAAGGGTGAGAAAAAAAGATTTTTGCACTCCAGGATCAGGAGGTGTGAGATATTTTAGCTTTTTTGTCCTACCTGCATGGGTGTTACTGCTTTATTAAAAAATCCTGCTTAAGGGAAACACATTGTTGTAAAGTGATACAGTATATCAGATTTTGTCAGATGCTAGAAATGGATTTATTCTAGAATTTGTTACTGTCCCACACATTCTGTATTTAAGACAGTGCACAAGTAGAAATAAGCAGCCTTATTAACTGATTGTAGCAATTCCATATTTCTAGTAAGACATCTGTTTTGTGCCAAAAGAGTAATTTTCAAACTTATGTTAACTGTGTAAAGGCAATCTTACAGTAAAGTCCAATATGTAAAACTAATTGTGAACAGGGTCTGACTTACATTCATAGATCCTGTCAAGTGCAGTTTGAAGACTCTTGTTCTAAAATCCTGTCAGAACTATTGGAACACATTATTCTATGGTTACTAGTGCAGCCAGTTCAAAGAACCAGGTTACAAAACAAGAATCTAGAAGAAACTTGAGTCTGGGCAATCAAAACAGATGCCATAATGGCCTAAAAACTAAAGTTGTGTCTGGTTTTTCAGAGGCAGTAACTCCCTTTCCAGAGGAGGCTGAGAAATGTGTAGGGGCACTTTTTTGGTTGTCATATTTACTAGGGGCGTCTGCTGGCATTTAAGCCTGAAGACCTTTACCCCCTGTAGTGCATAGGACAGCCTGGCACACTGAAGATTTTTCCTTCCAAAATACAGGTTATTTTATTTTGATGGACAGGGCAAATTACCGGTAGAAGCAAAATTAAAAAGACAAATTGGGCAAACGGAATAATTGATAGAGGAGACTAATTCCAACACTCCAGGTTTGGCTGATGAGGTGCACTAAAGGCATTGATATGTTCCAGCAGCTCACTATAGTACTTATAAATCCATAATTAATACTGATGTTTAATATTAATATTTCAATAATATCAGATTAAAAGACTCTATCCTGTTACACATAGTCAGTTTAGGGCAGGAAAACAAGTGCTATATATTGGCAGGATACCAAGAATGGTCAAATTGAAATTTTGGTTAAGAGAGTAAGTTTAAATATCTGAAAAAACAACACAGAAAAAAATAAAAGAATCTACCGGTAATTTCCTAATAGCTTTGAGTATTTTTACAGTAGAAAAATGCTTTATTACTTGAGAAAAAGATTGGAAGACCTGAAAGCCACTTCTGCTTTCTAACCCCAGTTCCTAAAATACTGAAGTTTTGTACATTTTGTGAAGTTCCAGTATGTTTTGCTTAAGGTGAATATAAAATTAGTTTGCATCATATAGTCACTGAGTGAGAGGGAAGATATAAACCAAGAATTTTAAATTGACCCTCAGCTTTAGAGAATTTGCTATAGTCTTGTTTGTAAAAAAAAAATGTGTATTTTACTGTTTTCTGTATCAAGTAATTCTGTAACTGCATGGCGGTCTTTTTCTTTTTTTTTTTTATAAAGATTGTTACTGGTCCTGTTGTATCAGTGAATATAGTTAAAGTAAGTACCATTTTTAAAAAAAACAATGTCCTTAGCAGTTACTGCCCTATATCTCATTCCTGCTTTTCTTAAAAGATTTGTATTCCCAGTCTCCCATATTGCCATGCAAATTGTTCTACCAAGCTTGCCAAGTCCTTGTCGGTATTCTTATCCTCCTTGAAATTCTGATTACCTAGGTTTGAGGAGATAGAATCTCCAGGTATACTTTCTCAGTCTTTGCAGGTACCTCTTCTCTTAAACATCTGTTCTTATGATTTAAAAAATCTTTTTTGTTTTAGACTGCTTTATTCTACATCGTCTCCCTAGCTGATCTCATTTTCTTCCATGACTTCAGTTACTACCTGTATGCAAATGACTCCCAGATTCATATCTCTAATTCACATATCTAATTGCTAACATAAAATCACTTTGCAGCCAGGCATGGTGGCTCGTGCCTGTAATCCCAGCACTTTGGGAGGCGGAGACAAGAGGATTGCCTGAGCCCATGGGTTCGAGACCAGCCTGAGCTGGTCTCTACAATAAATCAAAAAAGTAGCCGGGCGTATGGCACATGCTTGTAGTTCCAGCTACTTGGAAGACTGAGGTGGAAGATTACCTGAACCCAGCAGGTCGAGGCTGCAGTGGCAGTGAGCGTGCCACTGCACTCCAGCCTGGATGACAGAGTGAGACTCCCGACTTAAAAAAAATTCACTTTGCTGTCTTACAGGCATCACAACATGTCATCGATCTTAGCCCCCTACCCCAACCCTCTAATGTTTCCTCTTTCAGTACATGGCACTACCACTACCAGCCATTCAGTTGCCCTTGCCCAAGCCAAAAACACTCCTCCATAACTCTCCCAATTATCCAGTGCTACTGTCCTAATTCAGACCATCAACCTACCTAAATTATAGCAATAGTCTGATTTTTATTCCTTTCCATGCTGCTGTTGAATTGCTGCAGAAGACCTCTCTGATCATATCGCTCCACTGCTTTCACCGTTGTTCTTAGGATAAAATGCAAATTTCTCTTTATTTTTCAGGTATCAGTTTATATGCCACTTCATCTGGGAAACCTTTATTGATGCCCTCTAGACTAGCTGCCCTTACTATGCACTCTCTCTACATCCTGTTTTCTAAACACACTTAGCACACTATTGTTACTGCTTATTGATCACTGCTAGACTGTAAGCTTTAAAAGGGCAGGGACCATATAAGCCTTGTTCACTGTTACATCTCTAGTGCTTAGCACAATGCCTGGCATTTCAATAAATGTTTGGATAAATGAATATTTGTGTAATGTTTTACAATCATTGAAGCTCTTTCACAGTGTCATTTGACCTTCACAGTCATCCTGCCTTAGACTGTTCATCACTGGGTACTTTTTATCCACATATTACAAATTAAGAAATGAAACTAAGTTCTTTTGACTAGGACCTCGTATTCCCAGACTTTAGTGCAGTGCTTGTGCTAAATTAGCATGTGGCTTAAATATGTATTATGTGAAAGTTGTTAAGGAAACAAACTGAATTGCAATTTCCCCTAGAAAATATAGTAAGTAGTAAAGTTAATTTCAAATCTAAGTATACTCATGTAAATCCACTATGTAATATTAAATTTGTATATCTATGATATATTCTTAATTTCTTCCTGCCCTTTAAACAAAAAGTCTTAAATTTTTTTCCCCAAAGGCAGATTTTCAAAGAAACCTACATATAGAGGGAAAAGATTGGACAACTATTAAGTAAACTAAGACAATACTTCAGTAATTAAAAAAGTTACATTTAGTATTAAAAAAAGATAATGCCGCTTAAGAGTTAATAATCATTTTTCCTTTTGTAGGCATCAACCCTAGGAGAAAATGGCATGCTATTTATTTGCTACTTTCCTTTACAGATGATATTTGGCTCTTCTGGGATTTAAAAGTAAGTAAATTCGACAAAATGGAAGAATGATTCAGCCCTTCTCATCACTAGATACTCAGTTCACCTGCTATCATACCTGCAGAATGTCCTCATCACTTCTCCAAGAGAGATTACCCAAAAGTAACATCTAGTTAATGTGTACTTTTTAGACTTGCTGCCTTTTTTTTTTTTTGCCTTCTTGTTCCCATGCCTCTCTGAACTCAATTTCTGGGAACTGAACCCTTTGGGGCTTAGGTGGTAAGTCATACCCTTTAGTCTCTTTTCTTAAGCCATTATGTCCAATTTAAGAGATTAACTAGTAGTATAATCTTAGTTGGGCTTTTGGTTTGAAGCACATTAACTTATTTAGAGATTTTTTTTTTTTTGAGTCGGGATCTCATTCTGTTGCCTAGATTGGAGTGCAGTGGCATGCTCACGGCCACCATAGCCTCTACCTGTTGGGCTCAGGTGATCCTTCCACCTCAGCCTTCCAAGTAGTTGGAACTACAGGCGCACGCCACCACGGCCAGCTAATTTTTTTATTTATTGTGGAGATGAGGTCTTGTCAAGTTGCCCAGACTAGTCTCGAACTTGTGGGCTCAGGCAAACCTCTCACCTCCTAAAGTGCTGGGATTATAGGCGTGAGCCACCGGGCCTGGCCTATTTAGAGATCTTAACAGTAGATGTGATAATTATCCAGTGATTTGATCCTTGCTGCAAAGCTGGGTTTTAATTAGCCTTTAAGCTTAAGGATTTCTCATTTTTATCTTATTTTTTGCCATTGAAAAGTTGCCTCATCCTATACAATAAGTACTTGAATTTGTGCATTCTCTATTCCTTTTCATTTCTGCCTGTAAACTTACCAGTTTTTTTCTTAATTCATCTCTTCTGTACGTTTTCTCAAGTGCAGCCAACAACTACAAAATGTTTTGTTTTTCTGTCTTTAGTAAAGGGTAGATTATCTGTCTTGCAGGTTATCTCAAGGGGCAATTTTACCTCTTTGTAGTATGAATTGCTCCTGTGTAAGTTATTTCTTCCATTCTCCAATAACTGTTTCCTGAAAGCCTGCCAAACTTACCAGTGTTCAGTATTTTGGGAATTTTTTTTTAAAACGGGAAACCAATTGCTGTGTCAGGATGGTCTAACAACTACAGAGTTTGTCACACTTGTGTATTGCAACTTGCCTTGGGACTTTGCTCTAGGTCATGGGTCGGCAAACTACAGCTCATGGGCAAAATTCATCCAGCTGCCTATTTCTCTAAAGTTTTATTGGAATACAGCCTTGACTACTTATTTATGTATTATTTGTGGCTTTTTTTTTCTACAGTGTCAGAGCTGAGTAGTTGGCTGAAATATTTATTCTGTGGCCCTCTACAGAAAAAGTTCACTAATTTGTGCTCTAAGTTGTCCTCATTCTGGAACTCAGGCTGACAAAGCAGATACTATCAGGAGTGTAGCTACTCACTTTGGGAAATGAAAAGACCGTATTCAAATTACCTAAAAGCAATTAAGCACTTTCATTGGCCAAAGCAATCACACAGCCACACCAAACTAGGAGTATAATCCTTCTATATACCTGGGAGGAAACCAGAAATATTTGGAAGACAGCACTACTGTTAAACATATAGTTTATATCTCTTCATTTATATACTTTGAACATATTTCTTCCTTTTACTGAGTTAAAATTTCAAAGTATGAAGTGTACACTTCAGTAGATCTTTATATATACCCTTGAATGCAGCACCCAGGTCAAGATAAAATATTCCTGGCACCTCGGTAGATGTCCTTATGCCTCCCTCCCTCCCCCCTACACACACACACACACACACACACAATCACTATTTTGACCTTTTTCACCATGAATTAGTTTTGCCTGTTTTAAAACTTTATGTAAGTGAAATATGCACTCTTTCGTGTCTTTTTTTTTTTAACATCGTGTCTGTGAGAGTAATCCATGTTGTCTGTAGCAGCAGTTCATGTTTTACTTCTGTGTAGTGTTCCATTGTGTTACTGTACCACAACTTGTTAATCCATGCTACGGGTGATAGAAATTTGGGTTATTTCCAGTTTGTGGTCATGAATAAAGTTACTATGAAAATTATTGCATATGTCTTCCAGTAAATGTGTGTACCTATTCTTGGTATACTCTTTGATATATAATCCTGCTTCCATATATCCCTCATACAGTTTATTCTCTACTTAGCATCCAGAGTGATCTTTATTTTAAAATATAAATCAGATCATGCCACTTATGTGCTCAAAATCACCAATGACTTTATATCACAACCAGAGTAAAATCTAAGGTCTTTCTCATGGCCTTCAAGGCCCTGCCTGCATAATCTGCACCCACAACCTACCCTGCACACATGCCCTTTCTATTCCTACCCCACCTTATCTCATATCCTTTATCCATCTCCCTGTCCCTCCTCACTCTGCTCTGTACTAGACATGGTACTTGTAAATTGGAGAATTTATATAATTTGGCTCTGTCCTTAAAGGAGGTGGTCATTTTGACATTAGCCATAGCACTGGTTGTGTTAAGTAACCCCAATTTATCTTGATGTTTAACTCCTGGAAGGCAAGATAAAAATACAAACCCTCTTTGATAAATTTGAGAAATGTGTAAAGTCTTACATTTTAGTTCTACTGATTGAATTAGTTTACCAGTGTCACACTATTATAATTGTTCACTTTTGATGATAGCTGAGTCAGAGTTGGAGCAGAGGGTAAAGAGGTGGGAAGCTGGTAGTGGAATAAATAAAGAAGTACTGATATTAAGTCCAA